GTTCAGGCGGATCATCCCATCTTCATGTCCCCTTTAATTTTCCGGATAAAACAGATCTTGAGATCGCAGCTATTCATTTGTCCAGCAATTCCATACTGTAGTCACGATCCACCGCTTGATGTCTTGATCAGGGACCTTTTGGGTATAGAGGTTTGCCTGTCTTCCAGATGCCGCCAGATGATCGGCTTCCTCATTTCCTCTGATCCCGCAGTGTCCTGGGATCCAGATGAAAGTTGTTCCTTTATGAGCGAGCTTCTGGATAGCCTCGATCCAAGGGTGCTTGGCTGTATCGGACTGAAGAGCTGTTAATACGCTGGCCGAATCAGAAAATATGTCGACATGTTTGTTGGTAGGCGAGGTGGCGGCTACTAGTATGGCGGCAGCTTCAGCAGAGAAAACGCTGCAAGGGTCCGGAAGTCGGTAGAAGGTGCGTAACTCCGGATCGGATATCCCAATGCCTACACTTCCACCTGTTCGAGATCCGTCAGTGTATCTTGCTAGGTGATTTGGGTACTTGGTTCGTTGTAGTTCGGCCACCGATCTCAATAGTGCGGGGGAGTTGGTTCCCGCCCGGAATCTGTTCTTTATCGCCAAGTCGATAGAAAGTCCGGGTGAGTTCCAACCCCTGGCTCCACACCAGTGGACCCTGGCTACCGGGGGGAGTTCCAGGTCCGCGGCGTCCTTCAGGAGTTTGTTCGCCTCCATAAGGAGGGACACTCCATCACTTGTTCCAGTTGTCTTCTCTGCGAAGCCAACTGCCCTCTTGCAAACGGTAGCAACGATAAATTTGTCAAAGGGTAACCTTCCACTCTCCACACAAGCTGCAAGCCTGAGGGTTGTTTAATAATAATTTCCGGGAAAAAAATGAACGTCAAAGTCCCTAACTTCTTTAGGTTGCCGTTCACTTTTTTGACCTCTCTGTGGAAAATGGCCGGACGATATGATTAATTGATATCAAATTAAGCTAAAACAATTGAAAATTGTTGTGTTTCCTTCACAGCCTTTTTCATTGATGCTAAAACTGCTAAGATCATGAAACAACTTCAAAAAATATTGTACGATGGAAAGGACTTTTATTTGTTTTTTATGAAGTTAACATGACATAAATAATTGACGAACCTTTTTTTCATTTAAAAATATTTATTATGGATTTGAACAGAAACATTTGTTTACAACTTTTCGATACAGTCCTATCATTTTCCAGAATGCTTTCAAGAACTGGCTGTGTTGGTGTTAGATTAGATTGGATTATATTGTTTTAAAGTTATCGGATCGCCCTCGAAGTACGGAACTTCACTGAGTATCATGAAACTCTCTAAAAATGCCAAAATTTCTTAGAAGTTCTCTGGGATTTCTTGAAGATATCGATGCTTGATAAAATTTCTGGCACTTTTTTAATTAATGGAACTTTGTTGATGTTCTCTAATAAACTCTCTGGACTTCTGTGAAGTTCCTGAAATATTTCTGAAGTTATCAAAAATTCTCTGAAGGTCTCTATTCTACCCTGAAATTCTCGGAACATGTTAAGGGGTCTTTAGTGGTGCCGGTGATGTAGCGGTAAGCGTGACTGCCTCTCACTCCTAAGGGCCTGGGTACAATCTCAGTCGGCACCGTTGGGATTTTCTGAGGCATACAATATCACGCCCTCCTCAGGGATCAGGGAAGTAAAGCCGTTGGTCCCCGGTCCATGAGTGGATGGGTCGATAGGTGGAGTCCGGGTGTGGGAGCTGTCTCCCTGGCGTCGGTAGCATTGATCCTCAGTACGGAAAACTAGAATCGGTGTATAATGAGTCACGCCAAGAGTGAAGCCAAGTCTAACTATTGAACTGGCAAACTGGCTACCTATCATCTAAGAGAACAGACGTCCAACTTCGGTCGGAAACTTGTGTAAAGATAAGTGGGAACATCGTCGTTACGTGGTGCTAGCATCTCCTTATTTCCTCTATAAATTTTCTACTTTCGATCAATTTGGCGCAAGTATCGATAAATTTTCTGTTGAAAATTGCCACTTGACAGCACTTAGTGTCTAGTGTAAGTTTTGCAACGCCAGCGCCATCAGGTTGTCAGACGATTTTTAAGTGGGGAAGTCGCCGTTAGGTCGAATAGGAATCTTTACACTAGTTTTTAGAGAAATTTAGTTCGAGCCTAAACGTCTGTTCTCTCTGTGCTATCGTGCAAAGTAAACAAACATTACGATGCTATGAAAGCTCCGCGAAAGGTACTGCAATAAAATATAAAATATAATCGAATAAATGATCATAAACACGGAGTGAGCTTTAAATTGTCATAGGATACGTCTGGTGATCAGTAATGAGAATTTGTAATAGGGTAGAGAACTATCGAGCAGAAAACTTTAAATAAATCCATGATCTCAGAGTTAACAAGTCAATTAAGCGTTTGGTACGATGCTTTAGCTAATAAGCTACGAAACGAAGTCAATGAGAACGCGTGATATGAACGTTTGCACCCATTATTCTCAAAAACAAAAGAAGCGCTCCGACCGATTCCATTTTTACCTTCATCCGATAGGCCGAAGTGAATTCATTGGCGTTTCAATGCGTTAGGCCGAGTTTAAAATCCGTAGGCCGAGTTTGGTGTCAAGAAGCAGTGTTAGACTTTTGACAATATCTCAACGATTGATTTCTCTTTATCAAATCTTGCGGTACGTACGGTAGTAATAATAACATTCCGTTTGGTGCTAAACTGCGCTAGATTAAGAGAGACTAAGAGCGGGTTGTGCTTAATAGGCCGGAAATGGGGTAGTTAACACCCTAGTTGTTGTTAGGATAATTCAACGACATCACCGATATAATGATTGACTACAATCGCTAATTTATTTTCTCATTAGAAACCATTTGAAGTTGATACAGAAGTGAAAAGGAATGGAATCTTTCAAAAACGCGATCCACTGTTTTTCTCTTGTCGTGACTCTTATATACAGACTCTACGGAAAACAAGATCAAGAAGAAAAATATTAAAAGGTCTCGATTTTTTTTTTCAGCGCATCATGGAACGATCCTGAATTTTGCACGCTTATAGATCTTTAAACTGCTCCAAAAGTTTGGACTAAAGTTACGGGAGCTTAAGATATTTGAAATTCTAGGTACTTAGAACTTCTTGAAAGTTTCCACAATGTTCCTCAAGTTCTCTTGACACCGGTGAATTACTCTAAAATTCTAGGAACCTCTTAAAAATTCAATAAGTTCTGTGTAATCCTCGAATGTAAAACAGAGCAAGCCACAGTAACATAACCGAGTAGGGTAACGTATTGGTAAGACCCCATCTCAACATCAGTGAATTAGCTGCCATAAGGGAAGAGTCAAGGGCGGAACAAGTTGGAACTTAAGGTGTTAAACTTCAACATTCAATGGATTTCATTGCAAAGTTGTTTCGTTAAAACTGATTGTCATAAGCATCATACCATTACATGCAGGGCTGGAAAGCACCTCAGAGCGTTAGCAAAGCAAACGTTGTGGATGCATCTCACAAACACTCGACAAAGAGTATGTTGTTCTCCCATTTACTTCGCACACTCTTTTCCAACTAATCTGTGAGAAAGCCATCCACACAATGAGCGGTATACTCCGTGCGGCGCAGGGAGCGAATATAATACAACAAGCGCTAATGTCTTCTTTGAATTCTTTGCAGACTACCACGACTGCATGCATAGGAGATGAAGAAGGGCATAACCAGGCTTGATGGAGCCTCGCTCTCGAGTTTTAAATGAGCCGAGCGTTGCATTTTTCTGAGGAGTAGAATGCCTACTGCCAAATCATTCCACTGAGCTTCAGAGCTTGTGAGCGAAGGGGGATAAAATGAGAGTGAGGTATGCTGCCATTCATGTTCATGTTTTCGATCCACACACTCTTACTCTCACTCTGGGTGAACTCTGAGCTTCTTGCGTCGAACAAAAAAGTCATCCGGAGTCTCGAAAAGCGCACCAAATCATCCTATATCTGAAGTTCACTCTCCCTCTCTCTCGAGGAGTTTTTCATATTCCTGCCGCCACTCACTCGACGTAAGGGCTGGCTAAACTCGCAGGACAAGAGTGTTTTAAAACCTCCAGTGAGTTTGAGGAGTTTCAGCAAGCCTGGACATAGAAGAATTTTGTCTTTTCGCTGTTTCCCATTTGCAACCCTACACTGAGTGGCGCTCTTTGCGTCGGAGCGATGGCTACCATAGAGCTTTCGTTTTTTTTTTTTTGGCGTGTGTCTGTCTTCTCTTCTCCTCTGAAGCTTTACACTTGCGCAGGGTGAAAAACAAGCCAACTTTGTGTTTGCTGGATTCTCACTTAGGCCGTTCACAATGCTGTTGTATTTTATAAGGACTGTTTCAATTTGAAACTAGAACAGAAACGCACCTCTCGCAATGCTGAGTTGCAGTTTCATTATTCGAGCACTATTTTGCACCAGATTTGCAACTGCTCGACTATTCTGTTTTATTTCTGAGCGAGTTTGAAACACGAATGGAACTCTGTTTCAAATTTCTTTGGATGTGTTGAAGATGTTTCGAAGAGCTCCACAAATAAAAAACGGAGAACTTCATAGAGAACAGTAACGTTTATGGAACTTGATGATTACAAACATGTTTTAGAACTGTGCGTTGCGCTGATCGTGTTGCAGTTTTATTTTTGACAGTTTCAAATTATATAATTGACGAGTAGTTTAAAACAATTTTGAAACTCAGCATTGCGAACGGCCTTAGTATATTTCAGAAAATCAGTACATTGTGCGCATTGAGTGATCAGATGACATCCCTGCTCACATGTCTCCAAGTACTTTTAATGTACCAAGAATTAAACTTGCCCTCAGGAGAGGAATAAGAATTCCATTACTGCTTAGCAGTATTACGAGTAAAGTTCTGGTTGCGAAAGCATAAGTTAGCTAAATCCATTCCTTTCTGGTGGCAATCGTACCGCTGTGAACAAATTTCAAATTAACTTAAACTCAAGGCAGTTCGGATAACATATTTCCACACTTTCTCTATTTCTTTAAACATACAGATATATGGGTCTACCAACAAAAAACGTGTAAAAATAAACATGATTACTCGATTTTAACTAAATTACCTATGTAGATATTTTGTGGGGAAACATATGTAAAGAACCAAACAACATGGGATTGTCGAGCTGCGGCGGGTTGATCCAAGAGTCTTATAGCAAAGGTAAAGAGGATTAACAAATCACCCTCCTTCCATGAAACCGCAAAACCAAAATGCAAACAAAATATCTTTTCGCCTCTTTTCGCGATCATCTTCCTTAGATCAAGACAATCCTTTTCAACTTATCATCTTACCGAAACGAAACTTACATCCTCGCGCTCTCCTCTATTCGGCATTGGCTTCCGGGTGCCTTTCGAGCAACATTGCCACACCCTGCCCACCGGCGGCGCAGGCCGCCACCAGACCAAGCTGACCATTTTCGCGCACCAATCGGTTGGCCTGTGGAGAAATACAATTATTACATGTTTGATCCCCAATCACAAGGTAAGCAAGCAGGATGACTCACCGTGTGCATGCACAGCCGAACACCGGTCGCCGCGAACGGATGACCAATCGAGAGAGATCCACCCCAGTTGTTCCACTTGTTCAGATCAGGCGTACCGACCTTCTCGCTTAGTCCGAGGTAGTTCTTGCAGAAGTAGTCCGAGTCCAGTGCCTTCAGGTTGGCGATGATTTGGCCCTGCGGTTTTAGGTTTGAAGCGGTTAGAAGTGATCGGTATTAGAGAGTAAGAGAGAGAGAGAGAGAGGGAGACACTTACGGCAAACGCTTCGTGGATTTCCCACGAATCGATGTCCTTCATCGTGAGTCCGGCCTTCTTCAGCAACTTCGGGATGCCATATGCAGGTCCTAACAGCAGCTGGTCGATGGGATCCTGAGAGACGTAGAGGAAATCGCGCAGATAGGCCTTTGGACGGAGTCCAAGGGCCTTTGCCTTTTCCTCGGTCATAATGAGACAAGCCGAAGCTCCGTCCGTCAGGAAAGAAGCATTCGCTGCCGTTACGGTTCCGTATGGTTTAACAAAAGCTGGTCTCAGCTTTGCCAGAGCTTCCTTGCTCGAAACGCGGATACCGTTATCCTTTTCGACGGTTTTGGCCACACCGGTTACTTTGAATGGAACCAGATCGGTGAAGTAGCCTTTGTCCTGGGCTTCCTTGGCCAAAGTGTGGGATCGTAGTGCGTAGTCGTCCTGCTCTTGACGGGAAGCGTTAAAAGCAGCAGCAAGACGATCTGCCGAGTGACCCATGGTTTCGCCGGACGAGAACTCGGCCACAGCTGGCAGTTCTGGAACGAAGAAGTCTGGCCGGATGGTAGTCAACAGCTGCAGACGCTGGGCGGCAGTTTTAGCCTTGTTGGCCTTCAGCATCAGGGAACGCATTTTGCGGCTGTGACGGATTGGTACATCGGACATAAATTCTACGCCTCCGGCGACGATCGCGTCGTACGTTCCGGTGGCTATAAGACCCATTCCGGTGGTGATAGCCTGATTGGAACTGATGCAAGCCATGGTCACCGTGTGGGCAGGGGTTTTGTTACTGAAACCAGCAGCCAGAGCAGCTTCGCGGGCAATGTTGGAAGTTTTGACCTCCTGGATGACGGTACCGTAGACGATGTAGTCAACGATTTCCTTGTCGAGCTTGGTTTTGCGCAACAGGCTCCTGTTAGAGGATTATTTTTTTAATTTACAATAGGCTTCTTGAAAATTTAGACCATCACTTACAACAACGAATGCCGAGCCAGCTCATGTGGCATCAGCTTCGAGTAGTCGGTTCCGGACAACAGAAACGGTGTACGGACTCCGTCGACCAGTACGACATTTTTGCCAGTCTTATCGGGAAGCTTTCTTGGTTCGTACACGGCTCCTGTGGTGCTGATACTCCTCAGAGCTGAAATTGCAACAAAAATAGACCGTTGTTATCAACTCGTTATCAGATGGAAAACGTGACGATCCTTATCAGAGCGGACCCGATTCCGACTGCTGATATTGCAAAACTCTTTTGCACATTTTTGGTGGTCAATTCCAAATTCAACCAAACGAAATTTCTAAAACAGTAGAAACGGATTGATCAACCTACGATATGGAAGTGTCGAAGGTAGTTTAACATTTCCACCTAGCCGAGCAACACAAACGCAAACGACTCACATTGTCGGCTTATTCACACGAGCAAGGCGACTGATAATAAAGCTTGAACGAAACGTCTCAAAACAAGCGACTATGGAATGGACTTTGGACTCCCTTCGGCCCTGTTATGTCTCATCCTTGATGACTTTTGATTCTCGCATTACGAAAGCATTCCGTTTCGAGAATGACCTGAAAGCTAGTAAGTCCTTTTACAATTTTATCTAAATCGCTTTTAATACCAATGAAGAGCAGTCCATTAATTATGTGACCAATCCAAGCGGATCCAAAGTTCAGTTATACGACCGAGGTGACGTAGTGACTAAACGAAATCCGCGAGAGAAATCCATTTTGCGGATTCAATACCGTGTAGTGCTTACCAGTTTTGGACAGATTTCCCGACAGGGAGGAACCAATTTTCGTCAACTGGTATGCCATTCTTGATCCACTGCACTTGGAACTTAATATTTCGAAATAAAATTCAAATAAAATTACACTTTACACGGATTCAGAGCGAAAGTGCGATCTGATAACGACGAAGAATGGAGTACAAATGAAAATGGATCCGCCGCGGCGAGAACGAGAGAGTTGGGAATGCACTTTTGTGTCAAAATACTGCAACCCAAGATGACGTTTCTCCGCGGGTACCCCTGGGGATGAAAGTAAGTTATACTAAACAGATGAACCCTGCGCACTGTAAGAAATAAGTCCCAACAGTAATGGCGAATTTATTCAGTTCCAACCTCACAGCAAAAAAAAAATGTAATATCGATGAATGTAATTCAAGCTGCTGTATGAAATAATGATGTAACAGCAAAAAGCAGATACAATATTACATCAATGGATGTAATTTTGTTCCCAAAATCGATGTACATCGTACAACCACCGACAAACCGACATGATCATACAAAGTATCATCAAATTTCTGATCAAAGCACAAAACTGACATCTGCCGTCGTGTTCGCGAAAAATGTGTATCCTAGCCACGAACACACATACTAAATGTATGAGTTGGTTCGTGTCTAATCTATTCCGAGCAAATTATTTTTATCTAGATAACAAATTTCTACACACAAAAAATTATCGTTACTAAAATTAAAAATACCATATAATACCAATAAGTTTTCGTTGGTTCTTTTTGGTAGAAAGTCCAAAGCATTCATCATAAAAATGTGTAATCTGTCAAATCAAAAGTTTACGTCCTCGATAAATTTAAAAGTTGAAGCTTTTGATTCAAATTGTAGAACTGTCAAAAGGAAAATCAATGTTTTTAAAATAAAGTAGAAATTGTTTCAGTTCAAAAGGAGTCGTTTTTATCATGACAATATATGTTACTCATATATACATGATTTGTAAAAATAATGTTTATTCATATATTTTATAAACAAAAAACAAAATCATACATTGTTAAAATTACCAGAGCAAATTTGGTCCGAGTGCTAGTAAACAAAGGAAGGTATTCGGTCCAACCTCGGGTCCACGGCATTTTCGGAATTTTCCTCGTTCAAAATGACGATAAACAAAAGGAAGGCGATGATTACGAAGAGTGCTTTGGGAACCGATCCCTTTACAATGCAATCCCAATATCACTCCATGGAAACGGCATTCTTGACGACGTCTTCCTGCTGGAGCAACATTGTTCTCCATGAACTGACGATAAGGAATCTACAAAAAAAAATTCAACCTTTGAAATACAAGCCACAACCATTGCATACCACAAAAGTGCAACACTCACCATAGCAATATCCAGCAGAATGGTGAAGACATTCATAAATGTCATCAGCATCGATTGGAGGTAGTTTTCGTACACTGATTCCACCGTAAAATGCTTTTTTTTTACTTCGTCTGGTCCACTCAAATTCAATTTTGGCGGCAAATAAAGTTGGGTTCAGAGCTTCAGTGCTGCCAAAAACTTTGCTATGAACAGGTATTTTTGACAGTTGAACAACTTTTATAAAAACATAATGCACTTTCAAAATCACAAGTCCAAAGTGAAAGAAAAACTTTCAAATCGAAGATATAACTTTCATTTTGAAAATTTTCACAGTTAAAACAACGAAATTTGGGAAACTTTCATTTTGAAATTGCATTATTTTTATAGCAACAATTTTTGTTTTGTGTGTGTATGGTTTTGACAGATGGGATCGCTGCACATTTGAATCCGCCGTTATGGATTCTCGATCAAGAGTTAAGTTTTAGTTTCATGTCGGTTTGTCAGTGGTACAACGTTATATTACACAACCGATGGATTGACCTGGGGCCACATTGCGCATCTCGAAACGAAAGACTTTTTGTACGAACGCTTGTATGAAAAAGTTTTTCGTTTCGAGATGCGCAATGTGGCCCCTGGTTGCAGCAGTTTGGATGTAATATTCAACAACTTTTTTTCTGTGCTGGATCGGGTATCAAGATTGGGTCTGCTTGTTTTCTGACAAACGTCAGTTTGCTGGTTTGTTTTTAACACCTAGCCTAGGTTTGCACTGACAAAAAGTTCGGTTTTACCGTTTCATTATAGACGAATTTGCTATAAGTTATTTTCACTTAGAGAGGTTCTAGGTCTAGTATAAGAGAGGAGCGAATTCAAAACAAAATGCTTTGGCAACCTACGCGAATAAACGCGAACCATAACTATGAACTTACCAAAAATGGTTAGAAATTGTTTATAATCCCTGCTAAACTTTAACTGAAATCTCGATGAACATGTCAAATGATAACCACTGCTATGCAAACAAATTTCGCGCTAATTTTACCGCATTGTTTGAAAACGAAGATTTTTATCTAGCGTCCAAAACATCAAATACAACAGGGAAAGGTTTTGCAGCTGTCTTATTAACGAAAGAGAAAGTCGATGAAGAGAATCGATCAATGCAGATAAGACCCTTTGAAATATTTATCTAGAAATGATTGTGAAACTTTACATGAACGTTTGCGTGATAAAGTTTTAACCTTATGTATTATGGTTCTTTGGAAGTGAACCTTACAAATAATGGGTTGTTAAGAACCATTACCATTCCAAATTCTTGTTTTCTCCATACACTCAAAGATAAATTAAATCAAAAAAGCTTAAAAAGTATGCAGATTCTCGCTTTACCTTATTGAGTCCGAGCCATGATTACTTCGGCAGTAGTCATGCATGATTAAAATCGAAATAATCTTTCCAGTATTAAATTTTATTCTTTTTCAATACTGATATTTAGTCAAAAAAGATTAACATTCAATCAAAAATTATTAAAATAGAATCAAAAATGATTAAAATTTATTCAAAAAAAGATAATCTACAATCTAATCAATCATGATAAAACTGGGATTAATATCAGATGCTTATTTTTTAGAAAGCGAGGATTAATTTTTAATCATTCGATATGATTAAACTGAGTTTAATGTCAAATTGATTAAATTTCAAGCAAAATGGAAATAGTTCAATTTATCAGTGTACATTTTCGGAAAGAAAACTATATTAGAACCTTTTTACTTATGTTTTGAGAACTTTAATGGTAACGGTTATGGTAGTCAGTAAGGTCCATGTATGTTTTTTTTATTGTCGGTCAACTTTACGTGGAATATATCGCGAATTGGTAATCATTAATTTAGAGGTAACCTCAACTCCGCATCAGTCAGGTTGAACCCCTGGTGCAGTCAGTTTTTGACTAAATGAGTTCAAATTTTAGGAGGATGATCAGGACCCGATTTGAACACATTGGAGAAACAATTTAACTCTTATGCGCATACTTTCTTAGAACTTGAAAATTGTTCAGAACAGTTCGTTGAGAACAGGCGTAAGGTATAGGACGTAACATGTTTGTATGGATTTTGGATTGTCTGACTACTTTTAGGAAAATAATGGGGTGAATGGAAAATGTTTTATGAGTTAAAATTAATTTTTATTGCAGCAGCGAATTCCAGGCACAAATTTCATTAAAGAGAATGAAATTTCTACATATTTGGTATTGCGCATTTCACACCAAACGGGGGCCACATTGCGTATCTCGAAACGAAAAACTTTTTCATACAAGCGTTTGTACAAAAAGTCTTTCGTTTCGAGATGCGCAATGTGGCCCCTGGACAATCGTCTAATCGTCTTCAAGTTTGTGGTGCACTTATTCGTTATGTTAAAAGCAAAAAATGTTCCAAAGACACCAAAATGCAATTTTTGGGCAGTATAGTTAAGGTCCGTTTAGACTATCTGATTTCTTGGTCTGATTTTGACCGCCGCCATAATGAAAAATCTGCTCGATTTTACTTTCGACACACATTGTCGAACCTCCCTGTTTTCTGGTGTTCACCCTGCTTGCACATGTCCAAAAAACTGTCAATTTTGATTTCAAAACAAAACTGTACCAGGAATCTAAAGTAAATACTTCCATAATGAATTACCGGAAAATTGCTCTAGCTTCGGGAGGTGTATTTGCTTTTATTATTTTAAATAAAATTAGAAGGATAAGGTGAACTTTGTGGAGTAGGAAATAATTGCTCAGAAAGAAAACCGCAGGGATCTTTCTCATCTTGTCCTTCAAGAACTGCGATCTGAAGACGAAGCTATTGGGAAAAGTTCTCTATAGATCTACATGATTCCTTGAGTTCTGAAAATTACTGTTAAGAGCTCAATTCTGCATATTTATCTGAAAACCCTCGGACGTCCCTGATGTATTGTTTCTGTTTTCTGGTAAAATATCTTTGAAGATCAAAAATCTTTCCTGAAGATCTGTAAATTTCTCCATAGTTCTGTAGATTTCTTTGAAGTGTGCTCTTCAAAAGTGCTGTAAATTTCTCTAAAAATCAAAAGATCCTTAAAGATCAAGAATTATCTCTTACATTCAACAAATTTCTAAAAATCAACGAACTTCTTTGAAGTTCGGTAATTTTCTCTGCAGATTTCCATGATTCAATATCTAAAAAAAATATCTCTGGACATCTACACAATTCCCTAAAACTATTGCAAAAATTATCTAGAAATTTTTGAGCTTCCGGGAAGTTTGAGGAAGTTCTCTGAAGATCTTCTAATTTTTCTGAAATTGTGCAAATATATCTAAATATCAACGAACTTTCCTGAAGTTCTGTAAATTTCTCTTAAAATACAAGAACCTTAATAAAATTCTGATTTTTTAAACATCTGCTGATTTTTCAGTAGATTTACGATCTACCCTCTAAACTTTTCTGAAGTTCCTTAAATTTCTGTTAAATTCTGTAAAGTTTTCTTAAGTACTGTATTTCTGCTCTGAAGATCTACGAACTGTCCTGAAGTTCAGTAAATTTTTCAGTAGATCTCTGAACTTCTCTAAATTTCTGTAAATTTCTTTGTGGATTCTTGGACTTCGATAAAGTTCTGCAGATTTACATGAAATTCTTTGAAATACCCCAAAACTCTACAAATTATTAGAAAATATTTGAACTTCGCTAAAGTTTTCAAAATTTCTCTGGAGATTTACGAAGTTGTGTAAATACTTCTAAAGATCGGCGAACATTCCCAAAGTTCTGTGAGTTTTGCTGAAGTTTTGATTTTTTTTTCTAGAAAAGGACGAACTTCCTGAAGTTCTACAGACTTCTCTTAAAGTAGGGTAGAGCGCTACTTCGTCGTAATCACCCATTTCCGTTCTATCGATCAGAAAAGATCAATAATATCAATGATTTCACCGTGCACAAATCAATAATAGGTTTGTTAAGATGCGTTAATTCATTAGCTACAACATAAACCCTGTTAGAGCGCATTGTATGAATATTTACGCTCATTGTTCTCAAAACAAAAGAAGTGCTCATAGCGAATCCCCTTTTTCTACGTTTATCCGTCGGACGAAGAAAATCTAATGGCGTTTCAATGCGTGAGGACGGAATTGAAAATCGTAGAACGAATTTAGAATCAAGAAGCAGTATTAGATTTTAAACAATATCTCAAAAATTTGTGACTCTTTAGCAAATCCAACGGTACGTATGGAAAGGTGAATAAATTTAGAAATCATCTTCGACAGAAATATTCCATTTTTTTTGTTTAAACTCGTTCAGAAAAGAGAGGTAAAGCGCGGCTTGTGCTTAGTAGGACGGAAATTAGATCAAAAACCCTACTTTTTGTCTCTACGAATTTTTCTGAAGATCTCCAATTTTTCTGAAACTGTGAAGCTTTCTGAACCACTGAATGTCTCTGAAGATCTGCAAAATTGCTTGCAGCTCTGAGTATTTCTCTTAATATATACTCTTCCGAAGTTTTGAAAATATCTTTAAAGTTCTGTAAAGTTGTTTGAAGCTCCGTAGTTCTATTCTAAAGATCTACGAATTACGGGCTACCCTGAAGATCGGTAAATTTCCCTGGAGATCTTTTAAATTACCTAAAGTTTTCAAAATTTATATTAAAATATTTTAGCTTCCTTGATCTACAAATTTCCCTGAAATAGTATCAGTATATTTTTTTTTAAATCCCCGAACTTCCCTGAAGTTCAGCAAATTTCATTGGAGATCCATTAAAATTTCTGAGATTCTAAAAATGTATCAGAAAATCTGCACACTTTCTTGGAGGTCTTCAAATTTATTTGAAGATCTATGACAATTCTTGTGATTCTTTCAGAAGTTCTGTAGCTTTGTTCTGAAGATCTATGAACTTTTCTGATGTTCAATAATTTTCAGTAGATCTCTAAACTTCTGTGAAAGTTTTTACATTACATTGATTCTTGGACTTGTCTGAAGTTCTGCGAATTTCCCTGAAGATTTGCAAAATTTCCCTCACAATTTTACAAATTGGTCTGAAAATATTTTAGCTTGCTTGAAGTTTTTGAAAATTTCTTTGAACATTTTTGTGAAGATCTACTGTTGTGAATTTCTGCAAATTTCTATAAAATTTTCTGAAGTTTTGTAGTTCTGTTCTACGCTGAAACTCAACAAATTTCTCAGTAGATCTCCTAATCTCTCTGATGCTCTAAAAAAATCTTAGTTAGATCTCAAACCTGCTGTCTTACATACTTATTCTTATATAATACATGCTTAGTATTATATAAACACTGTTTTGTTGACCATGCCATGATCAAAGCCATTACAGCATCTTTCGGCCTCAGTCGGCATCAGTCGAATCAAACACAGGACAATATTGAATAGTTAAATCGGTTCATCAAAACACAAATCAAGCATTCTTCAGCAGTTCGAATCCGCGAATTTTTTTTTTTTTTTTTTTCCTTTATTTAACGTCGGTCTCTGTTCCGCAATCTAGTGCCAATCACCGACGGACATCGATTGCCATCCATTGACGGCAACCGAATGTGCAGGAAGGCAGCTTCCACACCTGCGTAGGATATCGCACCCATTCACAACACACATGGGTCGGGACCAACGGCTTTACTTCCCTTCCGAAGGAAGACGTGACCAGAGATTTTTATGCCTCAGAAAAATCCCACCGACCTCGGCTGGGATTGAACCCAGACCCATTGGGGTGTTAGAAAGCAGTCACGCTTACCACTACACCACCGGCGCCGGCTAAATCCGCGAAATTTTAGAAATAAAAAAAACCAATATTGTCACCTCCTTTCCGGTTATTTTGCTAAATGAGTCGAATGAAAATTAAACACAAATCTATTTCGTTCGACAAATCAAACGTCAAATTTGATCATCATGTCGAAAAAGTGTGAACGCATCCGAACATTGCATCCGACAAAATTATCGAGCAGTCCGTTAGAATCAGACCAACAAATCAGATAGTCTAAACGTACCTTTAGTTTCAGATGCAATCAGCAATGTAGGGGAAATGGCTCTAATGTTGGCCTGTGGATCTAAGATTGGACCCATCGTTAAAAATCTACTATTTATCAATTTTATCTAGATGAATGCGTCATTGGGACGGTACTAATGGATATTTTTGGTCGCTATTGAAAATTTAGTCGATTGCTGAATTTATGTATGGGCCCAACTTAGGGGCATTTAGGCCGACATTACAGCCATTTCCCCTATGTAGAAATTTCTTTCTCTTCGAAGAAATTTATGCCCGGAATTTAGCCGCATGTGCCTTGGATCATCGATCGCAGAGGTTTGCTGTTATATACGGGGCTCGGTGACCTAATGGTGACCGTTTTTGCTTACTGATCAGAAGTTCGTGAGTTCCTGAGTTGAAAGGATCACGTTATTTGCTAACGGTCTAATAAGGTATTGTTAATTTGGTTGTTTATCCTGCAGTCTATGCACTAAGAGAGCGAGACCCTGCTCGCATCGTTTATTTACGCTTTTACGCATACGCTTATGAGTTACGTACAATGTAACTATTCGATCGCTACAATAATAGCTTCTCTGTTAAGAGGGGCATACACTACAAAGATATGCAGAGATATATACTCAGAGTCCAGTCTTCCGTACACCTTACAATGGATGTCTAACACAAGGTTGCAAAGACTCATTTCAGCTAAAACAATGTTTTTCTAAATTATGAAATAATTAGATGCCATGATCAAATTTTGAATTGGTAGGATACAAGAAGAGGTTGCAAAGAATGTGTTTGACATATTAAACCTGTTTATTTCACTTCATGAGAGTCACAATCAGCGATTTTTCACAAACTCACTCACTCACTTAGCGATCAGCAAATCGCTGATTGTGACTCATAGAAAGCAAAATTTACAGGTTTTATGTTTCCAACGCATACTTTGTAACCTCTTCTTGTAAGTTACAAGTAAAACATGCCATCATACCATCTTTTGGTTTTATTATTCCGAAAAACATTATTTTAGCTGAAATGAGTCTTTGCAACCTTGACTAGCAATCTTTCCCCTCCCCGATGACCGTAAGTAAGTGGTCAACGACCTTGACCTTGAAAATACTGATTCATCAGAGTTTGCACCCTGAGAATAGATTGCATATCCCAAGCCCTATTTATGTGCTTCTTAGGACCAATTTGTTTAGGTTTGGTCAGTCGCGAAGGAACTGCGAAATCGTCACCAATGCTCAGACTTTTTGCAGTAAATATTCCTAGCAGTCAAGCGAAATCACTGAGAGACCGAGCTGAAAACGCACCTGAGATAATATAGCTCTACACTGTTAGAAAAAAGTACCCAAAATTAAGTTCTTTTCACTCATCTCGGCACTATAGTGCAGGAACCCAAAAGTAGGTACAGCGGGTCAAAGTAATTTTCATTTACTTGTGTGCAGTTCGTATGGAATTTTCCACTGGCTTTTTAACCAAAAGTAAGTTAGTTGTACCCAACAGTAGGTAAATATGATTATACTCAACGTTGGGTTCCCACACTTTACTACCCCTGTTGGGTGGTTTTGCTCCTCCGTTTTTGACAACATTAGAAGGAGAAAAGGAGACAAACTAGTCAATAGTAGTTAAAAGTGAACTTTCCGTTGGGTACTTTTTTCTTACCGTGTAACGTTAAAATAGCAATAGAAAAATCAACCTAAACTTAAATTGAAAACAAAAACAAAAGTTATATTTATTGTCAACCAACAAGGAGAGTAATTAGCTGGAAAAAAAAAGTCAAAAGGAACGATAACAAAAGTAAAGAATAAGAATCAACACCATGTTGACTTCCTGCGTTTCTTGAGACTATTCTTGTTGCGTTTCGAACGCAATTCGGCTGCGATCCGCTTTTCGATTTTGTCTGTAACGATATAACACAAACATTCTTGAAATAACTTCTCAACCTCTCCGGGTCTTACTCCAAGAGCCTTACCTTGCAACTGTGGACAGTTAAGCTTGACTAGGTTTTGCGCTTTCAGCTCCATCAAGGCGTCGGGGACTGTCAGGTAGCTTTCGACGTTAACGGTTAGCTCCAGCACGGGCCCGTGATTGTGGTTCTTGACAGTTGTTAAATACTCAAACTGCATCCCGGACCGTAATTGGCCATCGCATCCAATGTTTCTACACTTCCAGGCGATGGCATCCGTCGAAAGGAACGAGAGTACGCTGTAAATGAATTGCTTGTAGAGCAAGCAAATCCCCTCGTTGGTCGAACACCGGTAGAAACTGATTTCCGAGACGATGATTGGTTTGGTCAGAGCTTCTGCAGAGGGTACCTTGGTCAGATTGCCCATTGGCCAATTCATAGGTCCGTGGTTGTGGGCTAAACCTGGGGCATATTTAAGGCTTGGGAAAACGATCATGGTGCCAGGACATTTTGTGACCATACACTTCCAAAGTACTTCCGAATTGGTCGGACTGCTGTAGCAGACTTCTCTCTGGTACAAGAAGAGGAAAAGGTACATGTAATAGTTTTTGATATCTTTGTAGAACGCCATCAATGATTGGTTCTTGGGCAATGTCATAGAAATCGAACACGCAGTTGTATCGTTAGGTTCGGCTTGTTTTGTTGCGTTTACACGAACAGGAGTGCTTTCTGGAAACGTTGATTTGGGTGCGATAGGAACATTGCTGGGTCTTGACGTACTTGCCTCTGCATTCGGACTTTGAATGTGAGCCGTTGTGGATTCAGAAGGCTGCGTGTGGTTCATCGGTAAGGCAGCCACCCTTACGGGAAAGTCTATCTGAATAGAGGACCTATCGGTCACGGATTTGGGAACATGGTTATGGTCTTTGCACACCTTGTAACTACGAAGATCTGCCGTTGTTAAGATCATTCCGAGACAGTTTTTGTCGTTGCATCGCCAGTAGATTTGGGATGGAATAACGTCGCTGTTCACCGCTTCCTTGTAGTACCTGTGAAAATTGACGACGATCGATGGCTTATCACCTTCCGTGCTGTACTGAATTACGCTTGATTCCGAATTTGACGGGACAGTTTGCTGTGGATCCAACACTAAATTTTGCTGGGCACAGATCGACCGTGCAGTTTTGTCTTGCATCTCATCAGTTATGCCATCCATCTGATTCCGTAGTTTGTTCAGAAATGCACAAACACGTTGATCCATTTGGGTAAACTTTCTAAAATTGTAACGTTTTCTCAACATTTACTACAGCAAGGCATCTGCAATTTTACCTACCTCTGGTCGCTGGTTAGTTTAGCATGGTTGTGTGCTCCATAGATCCAGAACTTGCTGAAATTATTTTCAACCAACAGTTGACAGGGGCAGTTGGGCAACTCACAGCGCCAAACTAGTAAGCTTTCCTTCCGATAAACGCATCCATCGAATAACATATAATATTCCTCCAACGCTGCCGTGTAATATTCACTGTACAGCATCAAATCGAATATGCCACCAAATTTGACTTGCTCTTGTCCCTGCGGTTGCGTATTCTTGCTCGCAACCGCAATTTCGCTAGATGGATCATTCCACTTCTGCAATGCTCGAATCTTCCGGATCTGGTTATCGCTATCCTTGCAGCGACGTCGAAACGAGTCGAAGTCTTCCAGCTGTTGCATACAGCGAGAGCAGATTCTGGCATTCAGTTCCTCCGTTGGGATAAGCTGAAAATTAAGAGAAATTAGTTTGTGTTCTACTCGCTACCTGCGTCCACAAACGTACAATTATTTCCGCCAGCAGGCTAATCTTCGACATCAGGATCACGTTCGATTCGTTCGGTCCCTTGGGGAAGAGCGCGTGAAGCTCGTAGATGCTAGATAGACACAAACGGCAGTAGTCCTGCTCCACGAAACGCGCCGATAGTTCAAGGGACATCGTTTTATTTTTCTATTAATTGTCGAATAGAAGCAATGGAATTGGCCGTCATTCAGAAGGAATAAAAATCCTAATTTATTACGGTATTATTTTCGCAATTTTCGAACGAACTATTCTATAATCACGAATTACAAGCGACCCAAGCGACGCGAACCGAACATGCTTTTGTTTTGTTAAAGGTTTAGAAATGAGCGATCTCGCAATGAAAGATCGATTAATCGATTTGGTGCACTCTATTTCAATTCTAATCAGCAGCGTTGCCAGATATACTGATTTATCGGTATTTATACCGATTTCCGGACTACCCTAATAAAAATTGTATGGTTAATGACGTGTTCTGGGTATCATCCAAACCATTTGTGGAATATTTCAATGATTTGGGTTATCGTTCGTTTATGGTTATTTTTTATTAGGGTATACCGATTGGGAGATTGCCGTAAAAGCTCAACGCAGATGTCGCCACTGCATGATGATGATAATGTTGACAGACTGCATATAAAATTCATGAAAATTAGCATTAAATCATAATTTTCATCAAGCCTGCGTAAAATCCTTCCAATATAACATTCGAATTGAAGAAGAAAATGTTTTTACGATCAAACTGATGCGCATCTTTCACTTTTCCAGATGAACTTTCATAAGATATATTCATTTCATTTCACGGCTCCATCAATGCTGCATCGTAAATATGATGTAAACAGAAGTAAACTGCTCAATTACTCAAAATAAAGATGATTTGTCATCTTGTTATCATTTTGGAAACCATCTAGCACCATTTTATAGTATGGTGCGTGTTGAGTAAATCAAGTTCCGTTGCGTATTCCGTCGAAAATTGTGAGTATCAATATGTTTCCCTAAAAAGGCCAAAATGAACATTTATTGAATATTGGCGTCCTATACAACCATTTCTCCATTATCACCAGCATGATACAATCTTTCCTAAGTAAATTCACTTAATTTCCACTTTCATCCTAGTGGAAATCGCACATATTCACCATTTTCCGAAAAATGCAGCTGCGCAGGAGGTATAGCCTCTACCTGTGGGTGCAAACTTGTTATGCATAATTTTCCATGAAAACATCTCTGATCCATACTGAAATAATTACAGTTTGTTTGCAAACACGTTTTCTTACACGATTCAAGCAAAATTTTCCACGGGAAATTATTAGTTTATCCTTATGGACCGATGTACCTAAAAAATCCTCTGTTTTACTAGGAGAATTTGGAAGTCTCCTCCTTCTAGTAGTTCTGACTTCGAAATGTAGGTGGCGAAAGCTTGGAAAAGTTTCACTTCAAGACGCCAATATACAGATAATAAATTCTTCAGAATACGGATTTTTGAAATTGTATACCGATTTATACCGATTTATACCGATTTTTTTTAAATGCTCAAAATTACTATTGCCTACCCGCGCTCGAATTTCGGAGAAAATTGATGTGAGAAACTTGTATCTTTTTTAACAACCTTAAAAAAAAAATTCTTTCAAAAAATCATCTTTGAAAATGTCATATCCAGAACAACATGTGAAAAGGGCATACAAGCTTTTTGTAAAAAAACCTTCTTATGCCCTTTTCTCGCCACCCATATGACACCAACGCAAACCTTTAACATCACCGGGTAGGGGACACTTTCCCCTTCCCGATGATATTGCTGGTTTGCGTGGGCGACACTCGGTTGGTGAGAAAAGGGCCTACAAAGGTTTGTTTACAAAAAGCTTGTATGCCCTTTTCACATGTTGTTCTGGATATGCTTGATACTCTTTTGACTAATGTTTCTATTTCTTCACCATTTATGGCTACCCATGAATCGAGAAACTGTCGATGGCTCTTTCAGGTTATTCCTAGAGAATCGCGAAATACTTTTTAAACATTATTTAACTTCCTAAAGTTTTTGTTCATTTTTTACTTCCTGAATTTTCATCCAACTTTTGCCTGGAAGTTTCTTCCACCTTACACCACAACTTTTTTTCGATTACTCCCGAAAACTTATTTCAACTTCCCTTGGAAGCTTTTTCAGCCATCGCTTGAATGGTTCTTCAGTCTTCTCCCACCATTTTTTCAACTTCCCCTGAACTTCAGGGATGTTACCAGATTTTTATTGCGGATTCACACTAGCTGCAGGAACTTTTAAAAAGTTCTGAAACTTCAGAAAAGTCTAGACTTTTGAGTAAGTTCCGATAAATTAAAGATAGTTTCATTAACTTCTGTTCAAATTCCAAAACCCTAAAATTTCAGGAAAGTTCAGCGAACTTCAGTAAACTTACGAAAACATCAGAAATATTTTGGAAACTTCACCAGTTCAAAGAACTTCAGGAAAATTTAATGGTTTTCAGGAAAGTTTAAATTGTTCCAGATAATTGAGAGAACTTTAGAGAAGCTCCGTAAACATCAGGTCATATCAATTAATTTCAAGGAAATGCTGATATTTTTAAAGAATTTCCGAGAAACGCAGGCAATGTTCTACAAATTTAGGAAACGTAAGGGAAGTTTCAAGAACATTACACTAATAAAAATTCAATGATTATTTTTATATGTCACACACATGAATTTTTGCAATATGATAAACATATGATATATATGTGTCGGACACATAGTTCTTATGTGTACACATACTATTAATTTGACTCATAAATTTCATGTGTACTTCTGACTGGATTCTGTTTATGTGTGGACACATGAAAATCATGTGGAATTTTTATGGGAAATTCCGTGCTTTTTAATGGCAGTGCTAAGAATTAAAATTTTAAAAATTGAGCAAATCAGAGATCTGCAATGCTAATGATACATTAAATTCAAAAAAATTGTGAGAGCTATCTTCAAGAAAGTCCAGATACCCGCATAAACGCGAACCATAAATTGACCTTACCTAAAATGGTTAAAAATTGTTTATATTCCCTGCTGAACTTTAACTGAAATGATTATGGAACTTTACATGAACGTTTAATGATAAAGTTTCAACCTTATGTATTATGGTTTTTTGGAACTGGACCTGGGTTGTTAAGAACCATTACCGTTCCAAATTCTTGTTTTCTCCATAAATTTTCGGAAAGAGAACTATATTAGAACCTTTTAACTTATGGTTTGAGAACTTTAATGGTAATGGTTATGGTAGTCAGTAAGGTCCACGAATGGTTTTGTAACATCGATCAACTTTATGTGGAATATATCGCGAATTGGTTGCCTGTAATTTACTGATTACCAATTCACGATATATTCCACGTAAAGTTGAGCGATAATACAAAACCATTAGGACCTTACTGATCACCATAACCATTACCATTCATGTTCTCAAATCATAAGTAAAAACGTTCTTATATAGTTCTCTTTCTGAAAATGTATGGAGAAAACAAGAATTTGGAATGGTAATGGTTCTTAACAACCCATTATTTGTAAGGTCCAGTTCCAAAAAACCATAATACATAAGGTTGAAACTTTATCATTAAACATTCATGTAAAGTTCCATAACCATTTCAGTTAAAGTTTAGCAGGGATTATAAACAATTTTTAACCATTTTAGGTAAGGTCAATTTATGGTTCGCGTTTATGCGGGTACCTTCAAAGATGATTATATAAATTTAGATAGCCTCATTATAATCAGGGAAGTTCCGAGTACTTGGAGGATGATCAGAGAACTCTAAAACAGCCCCATTAACTTCAAGAAAATTACAAGAACTTTTAAGGAATTCCGTGGAATTATGGAATATTCCTAAAGTGTATTTCAGGAATGTTCCGAAAACATCAGGGGCATTGCGGGGTCTTCAGGGATGTTTTCTGAATATCAGGTAAATTTGCTGGATCATTAGAACATCCCCCAGAAACCTCTTCCGCAACGAGGGGGCGACAGATCTAAATCTCAAGTTTAGATGCTCAACACTAGTGAATCTATCTTCGAAAAATCTTCTTTCATTTGCCGCATCTACTTGCATCGCTCATCATCTTTTTGCAGGAAATCTTCAGAATCGTCATCAATCTTCTTTCTATCTACTCAGCGTGCGCGCAGCTAGCCACAGCAAAACACAATCTTTTTTGCATCTTAGATAGAGTCGTCCCCCTCGTTCCGGAATTATGTCCTTGATCCTTTCGACTGTTCCGTAGGCGCTCTGGCTTCCGAATTTCTCCAGAAGTTTTTTGCAATCTACCTTAGGAAGTGTCTGCCAGCGTCTTCAGGAAGTTTCTTTCGTCTTCTTCTGGAAGTGTGTTCATAAGCCATAGACTTTTTATTGGAAGGTTTTTCCGAACTTCTTCTGGCTTCCCTTAGAACTGGCTACTTCTGTAATTTATTTCCATTTTCCGAAACTTTTCTGGCTTCCTTTGGATGTGACATCCGATTTTTTTTTTCGATGGTTTCTTTGAATATTCACTAGAAGTTTTTCAATTCTTGTCTTGGTAGGTCCCGGATGTTTCTCCGACTTTTCTTAGAACTTTCCTCAAATTTCTTTCAGAAGAGTTTTTTTCTTGTTTCTCCGAATGTTCCTTCAGAAGATAATTCAAACATTTCCCGGAGTTTTCTTTCAGAATTGGGTTCTTTAATTTTGAAAAATATATCGGTTTTTATATATCATCTGAACGAGCTTCGTTTTCTGAGCACAGCGATATTTTTTTCGAACCCACACACTTTCATCTCGATTTTTAAATCAAGATTTAAAGCAAAATAATAACTTCACTGTTTGACACTTAACAAACATACTGACAGCTCGCTCCCATACAAAGTGACACCGAGGGGCGCTAATAAGGTGATTTTTGCAAATGTAATCATTTTTATTTAAAATAGTTCCAGTGTACCAAAATTGATGAAATTTTGGGTTTGGGTTCCATTTCTAATGCAGATTACGAATATGCATTTACCTCAATACCCTTAAAGAACCCAATTGTCCTATCATATAAAAAGTTAAAATTTTCGCTTTCAAAACAGCTAAAATATAAAATAAATTAAAATAGTAAATACCGGCAAATACCGATTTTTTTAAAACCTTTGATAACGATAAACTTTAAAACAATCTGGCAACGCTGCTACTCAGGCTGTGTTCCATCACAAACGAAGTGACAGACGAAGCGGCTCGAAAACTTTGGTGACTAACCTGCTATTTCAATTTTTCAGTGTACCACATGGCAACACCACTAATACTGGATTGTACTACATGGCAACACT